CCCCTAAAAAAAAAAAAAAAAGAAAAGAAATATCTTTGATCACCCTTTGAAAAAACTGAAGTACTAACTCTGAAATTGTCTATCAAAAGGTTAGTTTTGGGCGCCTGGGTGGCTCAGTTGGTTAAGCGACTGCCTTCGGCTCAGGTCATGATCCTGGAGTCCCGGGATCGAGTCCCGCATCGGGCTCCCTGCTCAGCAGGGAGTCTGCTTCTCCCTCTGACCCTCCTCCCTCTCATGCTCTCTGTCTCTCATTCTCCCTCTCGCAAATAAATAAAATCTTAAAAAAAAAAAAAAAAAAAGGTTAGTTTTAAGCACATACTCTGTTTTTCTTGGATGACTGTATTTCAGGGTCAAATACTAGTTGATCCAAATACATGATGTCTACTTCTAAAGATTTTTATTTATTTATTTATTTGTCAAAGAGACAGAGAGACAGAGAGCACAAGCAAGGGGAGTGACAGGCAGAGGGAGAGGGAGAAGCAGGGTCCCTGCTGAGCAAGGAGCCCGATGTAGGACTCGATCCCAGGACCCTGGGCTCATGACCTGAGCCGGAGGCAGATGCTTAACCATCTAAGCCACCCAGGCATCCTGATGTCTACTTCTAATAACTTCAGAATAAAAGGGAGGAGGGATAAATGAATCCGGGTGTGTGTGTATGGGAGTTCACTATACTATTTATTCTCTTAACTTTTGTACAGTTTTAAATTTTCCAAATGAAAGGTATTTTTTTAAAGTAGAGGAAAAAAAACAGCAAAAGAGTAAAAAAATCTTAAGAAACAAACCAAAATTTCCTTCTTCCCTACTATTCACTTATGAAACCTGCGATATTAACAGCATACTTTTTTTTCACTTAATTACTTCTTCATTCCCTTCCCACTTTTACTGTATATGTATCTAACACACAATTTACTTTTCAAAGCTGGTCTAAATTTTTCAGATTTGGGGGTGACCGTTTTTCTAAAACCTCACCTACCAGAATGAGAAAGACAACGTACAGGGGATGGACTGGTCTGGGCACAGCCTTTATCCCTGGATAAAGACTCTTTCCTGGTCCTGTGTTTCTATTCTTATCAACAGAGTGAGAAGGAAATTTTGAGGTCTTCTCATTCCTCTTCCCTGTAGAAAAGATAGCCAACTACCTCCCCCCACCCCGCCCCAACCCCAGCCCCTTCAGCTCTTTGGAATGAGATGCCTGTTGAGCAGAAGAGACCTCCTTCAACCTGAGAGGCAGAAGAGGATGAGAAGCCCAGGAGAGGAAGAAGGGGGCAGGTAAAAGACATTGCCATTGCCAGTTCTCATTGGATATCGTCTCCATTCCCACTACCTGAGGGAGGAGTCTCTCAATCCTCAAAACAGATAAAAGGGAGCAAACATCAGCAAAAAGCTGAACACACTACTCCTCCGTCCATGTTATATTTGCTGACTGGTCAGCTGATTTACTGAGTTTACCTTTTTCACAACATTTCAACCTGTTTTTTTTTTTTGTTTTTTTTTTTTAAAGATTTTATTTAT